TTTTGCTGTTGCTATACTTAATGTTCCATTCATATTTAAAAAATGTTTGTTGAACACATTTTTACACATTTCAAACATCTGTACTTTTTTTAACACATCACATTTTCTATCTTTAACACCTCACATCACCACAATCGCATCCCCCTGAAGAACTCTGGCGCCCCCTGGTCTAAATGAAATATAATGTTGTGTAATCTAAATCTTATGCAGGGAATTAGAAAATTCATCACAAGAAATTTTGAATGTGTGCCTAGTGCTTGATCCCAGCTCGAGAGAGTCATTTATAAAATCTGCATGATATGACATGATCCAGGTTGGCGAGAGAGAGAGAGAGAAAGAGAGAGACAACGAGAGACTTTTTCAGTTTGAGAGAGCGAGAAACTGTGCCAGCCTCCTTTATGGTTTCCTGGTAACATCCTGTAACTACCTGGGATTTTTACTATCTGGCTGCTTTTAGGTTGAAAATCCAGCCTCCATCAGGCTTCCTGATAAGGTCTAATCAGCATCAGGGGATTTAATTTTGAAATCCATCCTCCTTCAGGCTTCCTGGTAAGGTGTTTTTACAATCAAGGACTTTTATTTTGAAAATCCAGACTCCTTCAGGCTTCCTGGCAAGTTCCTATCACCATCCAGGACTTTTAGTTTGAAAATCCAGCCTTCTTCAGGCTTCCTGGTAGGAGCTTATTACCTTCCAGGACCTTTATTTTGAAAATCAAGCCTCCTTCAGGCTTCCCTAGTAAGGTCTTATCGCCATCCAGGGGGGTTCATTTTGAAAATCCAGGTTACTTTCTGGTTCCTTTTAACATCCTCTCACCATCTGGGGGGTTTTATTGTGAAAATCCAGCCTCCTTTTAATAATAATAATAATAATGGCTGAAATTTATATAGTGCCTTTCACGGGACCCAAGGACGCTTGACATAAGTTTGTGAGGACAAGACAGAAGAGAAAGAAAAAATAGTTATAATACAAAACATGATCAAATTTAGCAGCAGGGTGGAGCATTAACTGAGGCCAAAGACCTGAGTGAAGAGGTGGTGCTTGAGGAGTTTTTTTAAAGATTTTGACAGATTCAGCATTGCATATTTTGGCAGGGAGACAGTTCCAGAGGGTGGGGGCTGCGACACTGAAGGCTCTGTCTCCAAAAGTTTGGAGTTTGGTGGTGGGGATGGTGAGCAAACCTGAGTTTGATGATTGTAGCCATCGGAGCGTAGTGTAGGGTTGGATGAGGTTGGTTAAATACAGTGGGCATGGAGGGATTTATAAGTGAAAAGGAGTAGTTTGTAATTAATGCGGGCCTATATAGGGAGCCAGTGGAGGCAAATGAGGGTTGGGTGATGTGCTGCCAGGGCTTAGTGCGAGTTAGAACTCTGGCAGCGGAGTTCTGTACATATTGGAGTCGTTTCAAGATGTTGTCAGGTAGACCGAACAGGACTTCATTGCAGTAATTGAAGCAGAAGGTGATAAAGGCATGGGTGAGGGTTTCTGCCGCAAAATCACGAAGTGAGGGCTGGAGTCTGGAAATATTTTTTTATGGTGGAAGAAGGCGTATTTGGTGACGAAAGCAGCAGAGAGGTCAAGAAGGATGAGGATACTAATGTGTTTAATATGTTCATTTCGGGTTTCCTGGTAACTTCCTGTAACTATCTGGGGGGTTATAGTTTGAAATGATATGTAATGTTATGTTCCTAAGTAGCTGCATTGGTAAAAAGCAAAATTAAAGTTCTACCTTCACATGGTCTTGAACCCAATACCTCTGATTCACTGTCCAAGTGATCTAACCACTGAGCTACCAAATGCACCTTACGCTCTGTGTATGTAAGGTGCTAACGAGACCAACCTGTTCTTGGGAAGGGACAGATCTATGCTCTGGTGCAGTTCCTGAACAAATAGCTCTTGTTCAAAAACTATAAGTCCTATCTGTGAAATTTAAGAGTTAGGAAGTGTGACTTTGGGGGGAATTTCCCTTTAAAATTAATATTAGATCAAATGGAGAGAAAATCAGACCACTGGGAGGGTGGTAAGAGCTCCTAGAGACAAAAGTTTATGTCTGATAGATTTTATACTGACATTTCTACAAAGCCAACAAGTTCCTACGTTTTGAGCTAAAAATCATGTTTGACAACCTCCATTTGTGGTTTTGAGAGCAGTTTAAGAACATTGGTTTTAGAGTCAGACCGGTTCTCACTCTAGTTCTTTTGTCCAAGAGACCTTTACCCCCATTTTCGTAGTCTTAGAAAAGTCATATTACACCATTCGCTGTCATTTTCTCAAGTTTTTTCACGACCCTTGTGTATGTGCAGGAGGAGTATCGGGAGAAACTTTTTTACGGAATTCCTCCCAAGAAATATTGAATGTGTGCCTAGAAAGACATTTATAAAACTGCATGATCCAGGTTGTTTAGAGAGAGAGACTGTGCCAATTTGAAAGCGAGGGAAAGACAGAGACAGAGGGAGAGACTGTGCCAATTTGAAAGAGAGGGACAGACAGAGAGAGAGAGACTGTGCCAGCCTTCTTTCGGGTTTCCTGGTAACATCCTGTAACTATCCGGGGGATTTTTACCACATGGGTGCTTTTAGTTTGAAAATCCAGCCTCCTTCAGGCTTTCTGGCAATTTCCTATCACCATCTGGGGGCTTTTATTTTGAAAATCTATGTCTACAAGAAGTTGTGATGTGTGCAATTGTGATTAGTTAATTTTCCAGATATTTCAGATTTAATTATCTCCATCAACTTTTTTCTTCTTATTTCCGCTGAGCAGCAGGAACATGTGGCATCCCTACAAGAGAAGCATCGCTCTGTGCATTCCTCCCTGCAGGAGGTCCAGCTCCACTGCTCCCAGCAGAAGCAAACCATCTCTGAGCTGCAGGCCAAGACCAGCCAACAGAGCATCGAGGTGGATGGACTGCGGCGCAGGATAGAGGAGCTCCAGCAGGTGAGGAACCATGATATTCCTGTTACAATAAGAACATGCCCTGTCTGACATGCACCTTAATGAAAATGTAACTTCACATTGCAGCAGGAGAGACCATTTCACTTGGTAGCATGTCTCCTCCATCTCTCTCAGTGGCCACTCAGGCACTCAAGGCTCACTTTCCCTTTTCTTTGTTGCAGTAATTTTAGTAAAAATAACTGTTGTTCAACATTTATTCAGTCAGATTGAAGTACACAGAGTGATTATCTGCAATAGCTAGAAACCCTCAATAACCAATGAGAGATGGATGTTGCAGAGCCCACAGAAGTCAACACCTCAGCTGTGTCCTCTAAGCCTTCAGTGGGAACCTGCTCAGATCAGGAGAGTCCGCTGAATAAAAAAAATCACAATTTCCTGAATTTACAAATCATTAACTGTGGTTATATTGGAAAATAACTGGTGCTGGTCAGTGTGATTTGACACAACAAAATGTGCTAATACACCCAAGAAATGAAGGTTTGAAATAGTCCAATATATAATTGGTGAAACTTTTTTTTTTGTTCACTGTTCTGCACCTCATCAGAATCAAGCACGTTTCTGTTAGATTTCAAGTCTCTGGGATCGCCACTTTGAGATTGTTTCCTACAAATGGCAAGTGTATGGTCTTACGTTCAGGCCAAATCATCTAGTGTGTGTGTTCTGATGATTATAGGATTCGAAATTGGTTAAATATGTCTGTGATCTCCTACGTTTTTTTAAATAGATCAACAGTTGAAAATCCTTTGTGCTCCAGGCTTAAGGTACTTAAAGACTCCCATATCATGATTTTCCAGGAAAAGATTAATCAAGGGCAACTGTACATCTGGTGGAGGACAGTTCGGGAGACCCAGCTATTTTTCAGATTTTCAGACCTATTCTGTGCGTACGCCATTTCTCTGATGTGCCAAGTAACTGGTCTGATTGCTGTAAACATAAATACTGCAGTGATCCTCATGCATAATGCTGCGTGATGGATGCATTGGCACTGATAGAGGATTACGCGTATAGTAGGGTTATTTGGAAACGAATTGTCAGCATGTTTGATACGAATAATACTATATCATTTTAACCTTTGCTGTTAAATTTTATAGATTGGAGATATTGCAGCTATCTTTAAATGTAACAATCCTGCAGTTTTGGATGATTAAATATGCACAGGCAATACAAATCCTCTCACATTATGAAAATCTGACCTTTTTTATATTTCAGGCACTGTTTTCTCATATTCACTCACTCACTGCATTAACCGTATCAGCAACACATTTTCTTTTATTAGAAGTGATATTACTGCTGTGGCCAACAAACAATCTAGATAGATAGATAGATAGATAGATTACTTTATTCATCCTCGGAGGGAAATTAAGTCGTCATAGCAGCTGGTATATTTGAATACAATAAAATACAATACAAAAGAATAAAATAAAATATTGAGGTAGAAAGAATAAAAACAGAAACACAAGATGAATAGGTAGATAAGATAACGTGCAGTGGCAATATGATGGTAA